TTTCAGTTGTGAAATCAGAGGTAGCCTCTCTGAGGAGATGATGGTTGACACCTGAATGAGGAAAGGGACTTAGCAAGAGCAGTGCAGGAAGGAAGCACATTTCAGATGGAGCAGCAGCATATGCAATGTTCTGTGTTGGGATAAAGTAGGTTCTTCTGAAAGACGAAGAAGGCTGACATGGCTTAAGAATAGAAATTAAGAGAACAGAATGAGATTTTCTTTTTTTCTTTTGAAACAGTGTCTTGCTCTGTCACCCAGGCTGGACTGCAGTGGTGTGACTTTGGCTCACTGCAACCTCCACCTCCCAGGTTCAAGCAATTCTTGTGCCTCAGCCACCTGAGTGGGATTAGAGGCGTGTACCACCATGCCCAGCTAATTTCTGGATTTTTTTAGTAGAGCTGGGGTTTCACCATCTTGGCCAGGCTGGTCTTGAACTCCTGGCCTCAAGTGACCTGCCCGCCTCGGCCTCCCATGCAAGAGATTATCCAATTTTATTCCAATTGCAATGGTAAGTTATTAAAAGGTTTAAACAAGAAGTAATAACATCTACATTTTTAATATATCATGCTGGCTGCTATGTGGGAAGTAGACTAGAGGGGGACAGGAATGGTGGTAACTGGTTCAGTTAGAAAGTCTCTGCAGGAACAGGTGACAGTTGATGGTGACATGTCCTAAGATGGTAGCAGTAGACAGAGTGGTGGCTGGATTACCGATATATTCTGGAGATGGGACCAGTAGGATTTAATGATGAGCTGGATGTGTGGGGAAATATCTAGGATGACACACAGATGGTTTAGCTTGAGCAACTCAGAGTGGAAGTGTTATTTACTAAGATGAAGAATGGCAAAGGTGCAGATTTTGGGCGGGAGCTATAGTGGCAACTGAGAGTTGGGTTTGGATACCCAAAGGCTGAGATGTCTTTCATTGTGTCATGTCATCATTATGCAAAGACACACACACACATCTAGACTGGAGATGACTGTGTAACATAGAGATTCCCTCCCACCATTAGGATGGATGCGATTACCCAGGGAAAGCATAGAACCAGAAGAAAAAAGTCCCAATAAACTTTAAGATAAGATGGAGATAAAGGAACAGCGGAAAAGTAGCATGGAAGCTAAAAGATGGGAATGGTTCCTGACAGAGGAAGCTGTCAACTACAAGGACGGCTGCTGAAATGGTCAGTCTCTCAAAAGTGTCTGAGTGATTTGGCAACATAGAAGTCACAGACAAACTTATCCAGAGCAGTTTCAGCACAGATAGAAATCAGCTTGGACTAAACTGAACAGGCAACAGAAGTGGGTAGGTACAGTCAAATCCTCAGTAACCTTGGCTTTGAGGGAGGAACAGAGGGACAGGCAGATGCTGTCTCTTGAAGGAAAAGAGTAAGCTATGATTTCCTAAAGTTTCACACAGGCCAAAGTTTTTCATATTGTTAGTTGAGATGGTTTCCATACTAACAGCCCTAGGCTGACCATGGAGAGTTCCCCTACAGCCCCAGAAGACTCAAAGAGAATGAGAAGGGCCTTTAGCTATTATCGCCTTTCCCTGACCTTGGCTTCACCTCATCCATCCCTGGCCCAAGAGCCCCATTCCTTGTTCAAATCTTATTCGGGACACCTCCTCAGTGTCGTACTCCAACATTTGAAACTGTTCCATCATAAACCATCTTCCACCTCTGTGGGAAAGCTTCTGCATACTCACAAGGTATAAAGAAGGTATGAAGGGCTTCCTGACACCCTCTGTCTGGTCAAGAAATCTGACTTTACTCTTCCTTTTCCAGACTGTGTTCTTCTGGTCCCAACCAACAGACCCCAACCTACCTTTCAAACCTCATCTCCTAATGTCCCCCTTCTTGAACACTCCAACCAGCTTATGACCCCTTAAAACACCTCCTATTTTCCTACCTCCATATCTTTGCTGGTTTTCCCCTTTGGAATTAGTCCCCCGTCCCTGCCTCCCTATTACCCATACCTCAGAGTTCACCTTGGGTCCACTCACCTCTAGAACACCCTGCCTGCCCCTGCCCTTTCTCTTAGGCATTTCTTCCACACTGTCGAAGAGCACTGCTTTTCTCTGCATGTGCCATCCCATAATGAGGAGCAGTGAGACTGTGTGCATAGTCCTGTTTTCTTTGGTGCTGCCCGTACATCAGAAGCACTTGGTAAATGTTTGCTTATTGACAGGTTGATTGAGAAAGTCAGGAGCCCTTCCTCCCCCAGGGATGAAGACTTGCAGCAGTCTGTTCAAGGCTGCACGAGCGAGATTCACCAGGACTAAATGAGAAATCAATAGGAGCCACACTATTCACCACCTTGGTTTCTATAGAGTCATTTGAGGAAGTGCCATGGCAATGAGTTCAAGTTCAAATTCAGCTCTGGCCATCATGACCATCAACTATTTCTAATGTGCTTTTAAAAGCCTACTCCTTGGAAAAGTTTAAAATTTAAACCACAAAACCTCAGGCTTTCTTTCAATCCTGCAGACAGAAGTTTCTCGCCATTTTAGGCTGTGGATTTCCTCCAGCACAGTCCTTTTCAAAATATTGAAAAGGTGTTTTCTAACCCAAACCCTTTCACCACATCTTGGTTTACATGACAGAACACTGCACAGGGGTGAAAATGAACCCGGTGGTGTTTTTTACAATTCCGGCATTGGCTAAGTAGACATAACAGCTGCAGCACCTTTCATGCAATAGGAGTTCCCTTTAAAAAGTTTACACTGGCAAAGTTTTCAGGGAATAAACATCTTGTGGAAATTGGTTCATTCAAATCTGGGCTCCAAAGTGGCCTTAAACACATAGCAATTATTTAAACCATGAAGAGACAGGTAGACTGCAGACACAAATCTATAATAATATGCTTTATTATTTCTTTGGGGTCTATTTTTGCTCTCCTACGTCTACCTGAAAACCAAGAATCTTAAAACACCAAAAGTAGCAGTTTAAAAACAAAACCGCTTTCCAAATCCCAAATGCAAGAATTCAGTGGGGAAGGGTCAGGAGTCCTCTCATGGATTCACATCCATTAAAGTTGGTTCCAGTGAGGACCTAACGTCCCTATAGATTTCAGGAAGTTCAATTACCATGTCTGTTTATATCTCAACTTGACTTCTAAGGTAAAATAAGTTTTACGGAAAAAATTCTGTTTTTATATATTTGCTTTTGATTTACAGATTTGTAAGAGATTTGAGGCAACAGAGAGCTCTGCTGCTCAGTCTCGGGAAAAGTGAGGCTGCTTCTGCACAGTCATTCCTGGCCTCCTCTACCAGGGGCCCCAGGCTGTTGGGGAGAGCAGTTACTGTCCTCCAGGCAAGATTATCCACTGCCATCAGGGTGAGGCCAAGGAAATGACAGGGAAGGCTCATGCCCTGCCTGTGGCTTTCTCTGACTTGGCTGGAAATAGTGGATTTACTCCAAAAAGAAGTTTTAAGAGACACATGCGTTCACATACAATCATTCTTTTGAGGGCGTGTCTGTTTTTAAATGTCATGATTCACCCAAAATAACATATTCCCCATTTCTCACATCTAGCTATCTTCCAGAAAGAATACAATGTGTGGAGGCATATTGGAAACTGGGCGCCACATTTCTTCACTAGAAATCGAGTTTTCTCTAGCATTAAGCTTTTGTGCTGAAAGAGAAAAGTGCAAAATCTTTGGGAGGAAAAAACAAAAGGACCTGTCAAAATTTCTTTTAGCGCCTGTGACTAGTGTTAACTTACATGCTCTCAGAGTGCAGTAAAAAGCTTGCAAACTGCTGCTAAAAAGAGGGTTTGACCTTTTAAAATGGGAACTCCCCCACCCCATATCCATATTAAATAGGCGAACCTTGGGAGCTCTAGAGTTTTAAATTAATAAGTGAAATGAGGTTGAATTTCCAGAAAAAAGGTTTCCCCGAAGGCTGCAGGCTAATTAGGGTGTTCTAGACCTACATTGTAACAGGAGGTAGAAGACAGGCCCTAAACCTTTCAGCCATTGTCGTTGCCACCTGCTCAGAGTCTAGTTCTGAAATGAGGCAGATGGGGAGTTACGAAAATTTAGCAAATATAAAAGTCCCGGACGCGACCGCCCGCAGCCTGCGGCCCCTGGCGGTTGAGCAGCCGCGGCGATCCTGGGTCTCCACCGTAGCAGCCGAGCCTGCGCGCACCAACCCGCGCTGCTGAAAGTTGGAGAGCTCCCAGCACGCCGACAGAATTCGGCGGTGGGCGCTGGGGGAATCCCTTCCAGTGCCGCAATTAGGAAAGTTTTTGAAAAGGACCCTAGACAGAGAGGAGAACCATCCTTTCCCTTAGCATAAGAAACACTCTGCGCCGCGCCAGCCGGCGGCTGCTCGCACAAGGCCATCCGCCCTACTTGGCCGGGACGCAGCCGGTGCCTCCCAGCTCCCCACCAGAACTGATCCAGGGGGCGCGGAGACAGAGAGACAACTCTGTCAGGCTTGCGGTTTCAGACGGAAACGCCTCCGGGCTCCCTGGCCTGGGGGACAAGGGTTCGAATTCAACAGTCGAGAGGGCAAGGACAGAACTACCAGCTCCCGCTCGGACGCCCGGGACCTGCTCGCGTTTCTCCAAAGGACGCGCCGCACAGCCCTTGCGTCCCCGGCACTCTACTCCACTCCTTTATGATTTCCCCCAAACTCTTCCCGGGGAGACACAAAGCACAGACGGCACCCTGAAACTCGCCGGGCACCAGCCAGCCAGCCCCACCTCCGCCTCTCGAATCCTCCTAGTCGCGTTCTTCCCGCCCCGCACAGCTCTCCTCGCGTAGATTCTGAGGAGTCAGAAGCAAACCACGAGAAAATGCCTTCGAGAGGAGCCTCCCTACACCCGCCCTGTCACTGAAACAAAAGCGTAGGGAGGAGGGAGGTGGGAGAGGAGGCGGGAGGAAGGTTTAGAAAGAGGATGGGGACAGCAGTAGGAAGGAGCTGGGAGGGGGGTCAAGGTGGTGAGCAGAGCCGGGGGCGCGGACTCCGCTCCCATGCCGCGCGGCGGGTCGCTTACATGCCCAGGTCGCTGTAGGTGTTGAAGAACTCCATCTGGTTGCACGCCTGAATCCAGCCCACCACCCAGGTCTCGTGGCGGGGGATGGGGGGCATGACCACGCGGGCGGAGGCTTTGAAGTAGGGGGTCTTGTAGCGCAGGACGATGGGCGAGGTCTCCTCGATACGCGTGGGGCACTGGTCGATGGTGGCGCACACATCGTACACCACGATGTTCTCGCGCCGGATCCGCGCCTTGCAGGTGATGCTTTGGATACAGCCCATCCTGCAGCCCGGCGCCGGCACAGCGCGGCGTGGGGCAGCGCGGGGGCCCGCGCGGGCAGCCGGGGGCGCCCGTCACGCCGGCATGGCGACGCGCCGCTCGCTCCCGGTCAGGCTCAGCTCGCACCTAGGAGCGGGGAGCTGCCGCCGGGCATCCTTGGGGAAGCCCCCTCCTCTTGCAGCCGCGCGGGGACCCCGCTGCCCCGACGCCCGCCCACGCCCGCCCCCTCGCTCCGGCAGGGCGCGCGGAGGGAGCACTCCTAGGAGGCGGCGGGTGCCCTCGCCGGCTCCAGCGCCGGGGCGGAGGGCAGGGAGGGGAGCGGCGCTGCGAGGAGTGGTGCCCACCCCGGGCCGAAGCCCCCCGCCCCTCGCCAGAGAGGAGGAGGCGGCAGCGGCGGCGGCGGCATGGAGCCGGGGGAGGGCGGCGGCGGCAGCGCCCGGTCTGTCTGCCTCCGCGGCGGCAGCAGCAGCAGCCGCCGGCGCCGCCGCCGCTGCATGAACCTCTGCACCGCGGCTGCCCCCCGCGTGCAGCGCACCCAGCGGCGGGCAAGCGGGCGGCCCGAGCGGCAGGCGGAGGCAGCAGCGGCGGCGGCGACCGGAGCTCCCGCCGGCCCCGCCCCGTAGCCCGACCGCGCCGACACTCCTCGGTCCGGCCGCCCCGGCCCGAGGGGCGCCAGGAGGCTGTGGCCCCGGGTGGAGAGCCCCACCGGCTGGGGCGGCACAGGACGTGCTCCGCGGAGGAAACTGGCTGTACGCCACGAGTTTTGTCCCTCTCCGGCTGCCGTCCGGGTGGGGGGGTAATGTGTAAGGGTGGGGGTATTTAAAGGGCCGCTAGCGCCGGGGTGGGGCCGGCACGTGGGACTCGGGCGGGGCGGGGCCCTGGTAGGTGGTACCCCTGGGTGGGGGTGGGGGACTAGGGCGGGCCCAAGCGCCAACGGGTGGGTGGGGCCGAGCAGGGCGCGGCGCTGTCCAGAGTGGAACTCGGTAGCCCAGTAGCGGCTGTGGAATGAGTGGGGCAGCAGAAGGGTTGGGGAAAAGCTTTATCAGAGATTGCTCGTTATTGCGAATATAGCTTGTTGGATTAGATTTAGGCTTGAGCCCTCTTAGTATCCTACCTTCAGGAAGGGTGAGGTGCAGGCTCCAGCAATGTTACTAAATGCAGTGGATTTGCCTCTTTGCTTGACCGGGTTTGTTCTGGAAGCTCTTCTTTCCACCATTGTGTGTAGTGGGGGTACCGGAAGAATCCCTCCGTAGGTCAGCACTAAGTCACCCATATGCCAGGGTTTTGGCAGACATTGGGCATTGTGTACAGTATGACCACGGTCATGTGTCTCCTACTGCAGTCTAATGTGCCAAACAGGAAAAATATTTAGCAGATGCTTTTACTGGGCATCTTCTTACATTTATATTTTCAAAGCGTACAGCATCTAGGTATTTCTTCTCCGATCATTGAACATTTGCTGGATCTGCTACCCAAGTGTGAAATACCGACTAACAGGCCGCAGGAGGTGCTAGAGTTAGTCTTTAGCTAGGACAGGTGTGACGAGTAATTTGAAAATTGATTGAGATCTAAAAGCACTCTTCATCCTTGTTTTAACTGTTCTGACACCTTGGTTCACTTTATAGTTAACAAAAAAGCGGTTTTCCCCTTTGATGACTCATCTCTCTCGTTTTACCATGTGGCCACAGACCTCAATCACTGGTCCTTTCATTCAGCAAAGGCTGACTGCCTGCCTGGCAGGAGCCAAGCATAGTGCTAGGTACTAGGGATTCAAAGTTGGACAAGAGCACATGGATCACTGGAGAAAATAAACCTGTTAACAAGTTATTATAGTAAACTGTGGCACCTGCTTTAGTGGAGCTGTGTATCCAGTGCTGTGAAAGACCCGACAAGAGAGTTATTGAGAGATTTATATGAGACTTTGCTGAAGCAGTGACATTTAAATTGAATACTAACAGAAAGCGTCTTACCGAAAAGAGAAAGGTGAATGGTAAATGGGTAGTACAGGACCAGCATTTGGCAAATGCAAAATGCGTAGAAGTATGAAAGAACTCATCATACTCTGGGGGAAGAAACTCACAGTCAAGGCATTTCTCAAGGTCTTATGTGTGGACCATGGGCATCAGAATCACTGTCCAAGCATCAGTTGATTGTTGATAGACCATATCTTTTTTCTCTTTAAAATTAGACTACAGACTTTATTTTGATTTTACTAGTTTTTCCACTAATGTCTTTTCTTCCTAGAATCTAATCCAGGGTATGATGTTGCATTTAGTCATTACATCTCCTTAGTCTTTTCAATCTGTGACAGTTTCTCAGTCTTTCTCTGTTTTTCATGACCTTGACATTTTAAAAGAGGACTGGTTACTCTGTAGAATGTTCCTCATTTGCATTTATCTGATGTTTCCTCATGATTAGACCAGGATTTTGGACTTTGGAGATGAATACCATGAAGATGAATTGCCCCCCTCGTTGCATCGTGTCGGGGTATGTGCTAGCAATATGACTTGTTACTGGAGATATTAACCTTGATCACTGGGCTTGGTGAATAATTTTGTTTTTTTACTTTTATTTTAGGTTCAGAGGTACATGCGCAGGTTTGTTATATAGGTAAACTGCATATCATAGGGGTTTGGTGTACAAATTATTTTATTACCCTGGTAATAAAAGCATAGTACCCAATAGGTAGGTTTTTTTTTTTTTTATCCTCTGCCTTCTTCTACCCTTCAACCTTTAGTAGGGCCCAATATCTGTTCTCTTGATAGGACCATATCTTAAACTTTAGTGGAAGCCAATCAAGACAAGCCATGTGTTTTGAGAAAAATTACTCTGCATCAATATAGAGAATAGAGGAGGCAGTGTTTCAGAATATTGTGATGACTGATGCTTTGACCTTCCGCTAGCGAGGGTGGTGCTGTGGGGCTGGAGAGGCCTGACTGTATTTGCATTTGAGAATCACTTAGGAACTAAATTTATTTACTTGGTAACTGAACAAGGAGACAGAGTGGAAGCAGCTTGGGATTGTGGGTGAAGTCATGTTAAGTTCAAGGTGCTTGGAGGTATTTGTGGGGTGGGCTGGGGTGGGGTTAGAGTTTGAGTTTCAGTGGTTATTAGGTTCCAGGCAATAGACCAGAAGGAAAGCATTTTATTGGGGAATGTAGTTATCTTTCTTAATTTGAATTGCTTGTCAGGCTGCAGTTTTGTGGATAAGTAACTCCTTTGTCTTCTGGTGAGACATGTTAAGCCTTCATAAACAGGAAGGGGCATGGCAACCTTTCCCAAAATATAGGGAAATCACATAAGGAAGAATATCTTATTTTTCAAACTTAAAATAAGATATTGTTATATTTAGTAAAGCTAATACAATGTAACATTATTCACAGATTTGGACCTTTGACATTCTAAAAGGGTTCATCCATGACCTTGGTGAGTCTCCAAAATCATCACTGTCATCATGGCATATAATTTCCACCATAAAGTACAGTGAAGTATAACAAAAATGTAAAGAATCTTTTCAGACTCTTAATGGTTCTATGAATATGTGGCCAAAGTAATTTCTAAAGCGATTTAAATACATTTTGCCATTAAAATAAACTCCTTACTTCATTACCTTATATCTTTACCTTATTAATATCCTATTTCCCTGACTGTGCAAAGAAAAAAATTGATCACAGTATGAGAATTATTGTGCAGATGTCGATGAGAATGGAAGGAGAGCTCAGTGGTACGGGGGCACGAATGCCAGTGTTGGGAGCGGCCATGCACTGGCTGAGTGGCTGGCAAGTACACTCTGGCCTCCTGGCAGCCCCATTCAAATTTGTGTCCCAGAAAATTACCTCATGACAGGGACCTTTCAGGTTATTCACTGGGGATTTTTACCATGCATGCATATTTGGTCTGCAAATGCCAATGCAGGGCTATCTGTAGCGCAAATGAAATCCCCCGACTTGCAACAGTTTCTCTGCGGCTGCTCTTCTAAGTTTCTCTTCTCCTCATGGTAAGTCCCTTGCCTCTTTTAACACCTTTAATGCTCTTTCACAGTTGCTTGCTCACACTTGTCTCCCCCAATAAGCTGTTCGTTCCTCAAGAGAATGTGCCACCGGCCGGGCGCAGTGGCTCACGCCTATAATCCCAGCACTTTGGGAGGCCGAGGCGGGTGGATCACGAGGTCAAGAGATCGAGACCATCCTGGTCAACATGGTAAAACCCTGTCTCTATGAAAAATACAAAAATTAGCTGGGCATGGTGGCGCACGCCTGTAGTCCCAGCTGCTCAGGAGGCTGAGGCAGGAGAATTGCTTGAACCCAGGAGGCAGAGGTTGCAGTGAGCTGAGTTCGTGCCATTGCACTCCAGCCTGTGTAACAAGAGTGAAACACTGTCTCAAAAAAAGAGAATGTGCCACCATGCCCTGTTCCCAGCCTAGTGTGTGGCGCCTAGGTGCTGCTCAATAAACGTTTGAATGACTAAAAGTATTCTTAAAAATCCTTTAAAACATTATTTCTCATACATTATATTTAGTAGAGTGCCATCCCTAAAATGTAACATGATTCACAGATTTGGACCCTTGACATTCCCTATAAGCTTCCCTATAAGCTCTGTCCCATCACCTGCAGCAAGCACGTTTTATTCTAATTCTTTCTGCCCTGTACCTCTTTGTCCTCCCACTCTTCTTAATGTGCTTCCTTGATGTTAAGTGATGCCCTTTGTCTTCGAGCACTATGCATGATCTCAAGGGTTATCAGTTCTAGACACCATGAAATGGGGAAACTCCAGTGACAAGACCTTGACAACAATCATTTCTTGTGAATAACTTCATTGGAGTTTATTCTCAGGGCACAGCACAAATGATCCTTTGTACTTCAAGCTTCTGATGTTCTTGGGCATGACAGAGCTCCTCAGTTCCCGAGTGAGAGTCGCGCTGTCCGCTCTCCAGGAGGCTGGCCTCTGTTCTCCTTTTCAATCCACTCCTTCAGCTGTAGATGACTCGGTTCTTCCAGAAGCGGGGCGATCTCTGACTTTGTTTTTCCTCTTGATTTGTCAATTTGTCAAGAGAGCATTTTAGAAACTCTGGGTCACAAGGGCCTATTTTCTAGTTGACCTTGCCAAGAGTTTTCAGAAACTATCAAACAGACTACCAAGAGATGTTG